AGCCTCACTGAAAGAAACCCCATCCCTGTTAGCCATCGTCCTCCCACTCCCCGCCCCAGCCCTGGGCAGCCATGGTTCTGCTTTCCGCCTCTGCAGGCTGCCCGGTCCGGGCGTTTTATGTCTGAGCAGTCGGACAAGCTGCGCTCCTTGGTAGCTGGCTCACTTCGCTCTGCGCGATGCTGGCCAGCCTCACCTGTGCGGAGGCTGCATCAGCACTTCATTTCTTTCTTGTGCCTGAATGGTCCTCCACTGCGTTGGTCCACAGTGATTCTCCAGCTGTTCGCACCGGTTTAGCTGGACGGTTAAGCGCTTGGAAAGAAAAGGACTGGGAGCTTGGTGACAAGGAGCTCCGGGGAAGAGGCACTGGATGGACCTCTTAGAAAGGACACTGGCTGCGACCATCCCTGTGTCCTGGTGGAAGGATGTCTCCAAGGCCCATCCACTGCCGAGCAAGCTCTCAGTGATCAGATGGACACGAGGACCCTCCTGCCGAGGTTTTCAGCCTCTCATCCCAGCCAGTGCGGGGCCTGCTTGTCGGGCCGTGTGTAAAGTGATCGTGGTGGGAGGGGTGGAGGCTCAGCACAGAGGGCAGCATCACCTCCGCCCCTGAAGCTGACTTGCCCACCGCCAGCGCGGAGCCGACGCGGAGCCCCAGCACGGCACGCTCCCCGGGGACCCAGCCGTCCCAGAGGACTCCCCATGGCGGTGGGGGCAGAGACGCGGTCTCACCGGAATGCACGCAGACCCTGGGCTCGCCTTCCCCGCCCTTACCTCCTCGGCCGGCTCCACCGCCCCAGACTCGGGGTGGCCGCCATGCCCGTCCCGCCCCAGGGCTCCCGAACCAGGAGGGAAACGCTGGGCCACGGGGTCTCTCACTCGTGGGAGCCACTGGTCTTGCACTCGCCCCGTCACCCAGAGGGCCCGCCTGACAGAGTGTGAGCGGCCTGCAGAGTGAGAGCCGCACCCTTGGGAACCACGCCAGGAGGGCTGGAGGTCCCGGCTCACAGATTCAAGTGTATGCTCTGATCCGGAGAGACACCTGGTGCTGTCGCCCAGCCTGACCCCGGGTGTCTGGGAATCGGAGGGCGGAGGTGGCAGTGGCTCCTTGGACCTCCAGCAATGCCTCCCATCGGTTTTAATTCTGCCCCGCATCTTTGAGCTCTGATGACCTGGAAGTCCTGATGCTTCGGGGAGGGTTGGACCCGCCAGGGGGCACAGCAATGGCTTCTGCGATCTGGAGGAGGAAACTGTTGCTCGGGAGTCTGGGGTCACTGGATCCAAACGCTGAGAAGCGGGTCACCTTACCGGCTGGGGCGGTGGAGTCCTAATGCCAAGGAGAAAGTGAGCTGTCGCTTCGTGTTGAGGGCGTGAGAACCACGTCCGGAAGCCAGGGGCGTCGTCGCTGGTACATTTTAGTATTTCTGCCGCCAATAGCAAAGTTAATGGAAAGCTACAGCGTCCAAAGATAGACAGACAGACAGACAGATGGCAGGATAACAGGGTTTATGCCCTTCAGGAACGACGGTGTACGTCAGCCCACTAGCTGAAGAAATCTTGGCCAGCTGATCCTACTGAGGGCGAAGAAGAGGCCTTGTGACGGTCACAGAGAGCAGCACAGTAGCACCAGTGCCTGCGTCCCCTGCCTGGAGGCATGCACACACTCGCACCGGCCACTCTTCCACATTTGCATCTATTTACATTATATATTAAGGATCTCTACATTTGTATCCACCTCATTCCCGTGTGATTTTCAGTGCGTTTTGTTGGAAGCTAACTTTCCAGTTTAGTTTCAGGTAGAACAACATTCAGACAGGAGACTGAGGAGGAGAAGCAAAGAACACAGCCCAGAGGCAGACGCTACAGCAGCGGGACCTCGTACCCCCTCTGTCTGGGGAGGTGGGGAGACTGTCTTCCTCCTTTTTTCTTATTTTTTCAATTGAAGGCTAATTGATTTGCCATGTTTCAGGTGTACAGCAAAGTGAGTCAGCCATGCACGCACACATGCATGTGTATGTTCTTTCTCTGACTCTTTTCCATTATCGGTTATTACAAGGTGTTGAATACAGTCCCCTGTGCCGTAGAGGAAGGCCTCGTGGTTTAGCTGTTTTGTACACAGTGGTGTACATCTGTTAAACCCCAGTTCCGAGTCTGTCCCTCCCCCTGCCTCTGTCCCCTTCGGTAACCATAAACTTATTTTCTATGTCTGTGAGTCTGCTTCTGTTTTGTAAATAAGTTCATTTGTATCAGGTTTTTTTTTTGATTCCCCATATACATGATATCATACAATATTTGTCTTTCTCTGTCTGGCTTACTTCACTTAGTGTGATCATCTCTAGGTCCACCCATGTTGCTGCAGCTGGCATTATTTTATTCCTTTGTATGGCTGAGTAGTGTTCCATTCTATGCATCTACCACATCTTTATCCATTCATCTGTCGCTGGTGAGACTGTTTCATTCTTGAATCAAAGAGAGTTGCATCTTGTTAGGCAGAAATGGAGAGTTAGGGTCTTTTTGTTTCTTCGTTTTGCTTTTATTGCATGGAGGCTCAGACATGGGTAGAAATGTACATACAAACGGCAGGACTGTGCCCGTGAGGGCGATTTTGCCTGCCGCCAGTAAACCTCTCCCATTAACGCAGATCTAAATGTCCTTCGCCCTCTGCTTTGTGTTGCAGGGAGCAGGGGGCTCCACCCGGAGAGGGTGCTGGAGATGAGAATGCTGGAGGAGGGAGCGCGACCTTGCTCTCTGCTCCCTGCTAGCTTCCCGTCAGCGTGCAGTCCCCTGGCGACAATTCTTCACGTTTCCTTTTCTGAAGTAGCAGCTGAATCCAGTCTGCAGTTTTTCCAATGGGTACAGAATCCACAAGGCCGCCACTCAGGGGCAGCAGCTGGCTGGCACCCCCTGCTCAGGGTCTAGTCCTGGCCCTGCTGGGAGCCTATTTTTGATGCAGAGACACCAGCTCCAGCTGCCGGTGTCCCCACCTCAAAACTCTGAGTTTCAGCTCTTTGGTGTCCCTCCTTTAAGTCTCTACATTCTCATAATTCCATCCTCTTCTCTTTGGTCTTTTAGCTGCTAAGGTGGCAGTTGCTTCCTGCAGTTACTACCTAGAGATGTTACAGAGGTCTTTATTTTATTCTGAAAGTTACCTACTTAACAACTTTGTACCTAGTGATCAGTTTCTTCTATTAATTCCTCTCTGGTCAAATCACTGGCGTGATTTCCTCTTCCAGCTGGACCCTAAGTCCCTTATCAACGATATATATTGCAAATTTCTTCTCACCTCTGTGACTTTCCTTTTCACTCATTTTTTCCCTTTCTTTCTTTCTTTATTGGGGTATAGTCAGCTTACAGTGTTGTGTCAACTTCTGGTGTACAGCACAATGCCATACATGGATATACATATATCCATTTTCATATTCACTCATTTTTAAAGTAAGGTTTTAAATTTTAACCTAGGAAAGTTTTAGGTTTATATAAAAATTGCAAAGACAATACAAGTGCTTCCATATACCCCACATATACACCATACCTGTGTACATTATCTTGTATATTTAAGGCTGTCTGGCGTATGGTCAGTTTTTGTAGATGTTCTGTGTCCTCGTGAAGAATGGCATTCTACAGTTGTGGGTTCAGTGTTCTATGAATGTCCCGTACGTGGACCTCCTTAATTAGCATTTGAGGAAAACTGTGAAAAGGAAACTTCAGTAAGGAAAAGGACAGGTAACAAACGAGAGTGTTACTGGAGCATGCTTTGGAGGTGGAGTGCTTAATTTTCATGGCAGTGTGGGGACCTGGCCCGGCTGGCTGACATGAGTCAGTCAGAGACCTATTTTTAAGAGCGTACCCCCGGCACAACACTGAATTATTAAAAATAATTGCATCAATTACTAGGGGCAAGAATGCGAACAGCAACAGCAGTGGCAGACGTACACAAGCAGCAGTAGCACAAAACCACCATCAACACGAGGCTAAGACCAACAACAACGTAGGAGCGAACTGGGCGCAGGGCTCCTCCAGAGGCCCCGCCCCCAGCGGGAGGCCCCGCCCCCCCGCGGGGCGATCGATGGCTCCGGCTCGTGGCGCCGGCCTGCCCGGG